GAGGGAGAAGAGAGGGAAGAGGAAAGGAGGCCTGCTTGATGAAAATGATAGTGTTGAGGAAGCACAAGAATGGTAGAACAAGTTCCACATCAAAACGTCAATGTCGTCAATGTCTTGATTTGACTAGGGCCGATGTTTGTTGTGGTTGATTTTCAGCTATCAAGAATTTTCAGTTCCTCCTCCCGTTTCCTTCTTTCTCTTCTCCCTCCCCTGTATTCCGTATGACTCCTACCCATCTGCACGCTCTATACCTCCCTACCATTCAGATTCCTTCGCCCTCAATGCTAGCTATTCGATGTTGTTTGGTGAGCTTACTGCTCTGCCTTGCAGTTTGTAGATCATAAACCCCGCCCCCCCTCCCCCCCCCCCCTGATGACTAGAAGTTCTTACGAGTTTCGATGTGCCTGCGTGTTGAGCGATTGCTCAGCAAATGCTCTGCCTTTTCTTGTATATGAATATCACGTTACATCTCAGCCACTCCAGAGTTTGTCACGGTGCTGCCTACAAAAAGAGTCCTGTCCCGTGCACACGGTGACCTCAAATACGATCCCTTGCTAGTGCGTGCAATGCAAGGTTATTACATCTTGTTCAGGTTTGGTTGTCGGCTCTAGGGAACAGGGAAGGAATGTCAATCGTACCTGCTGGTAGGAAGGGGAGGGGGAGGCGGGGGGAGAAAGGAAGGGGGTGGGTCTCGCCAGCTCCTCCTTGCCCGCCTGTGGGTGTCCTCTCCCTCCGCCCTCCCTTCCGAAACCCGCAAAGTAGGCGCAAACAGGAGCGAGGCAGCTTTGACACTTAGAACATCATGCTAAATAGAAAATGACAACCGGCCAAGTCCTCCCTCAGCCCTCCTCCCCCCTCATAACAATCCCCTCCTTCCCTGCTCCTTCCCCTGTCCTTCCAGCTGCCCATCAGCTCCATGATCAGCTCCGGACTTCTCTCCTTCTGCTGAGATCCTGCGATCTGTTGGAGTTCGCGGGGAGGGAGGAGTGTTAGGTGGGCCTCAGCTGGGGAGCACAGCGTTTCCAACGATCCGCATCCTGCAGTGGCGTCAGAGTTGGGCAGTGCCGGGGAGAACGAGCTGGTGGGAAGGAAGAACACGAAGAATCTTGATAAGAGGAACACGAGGATGAGTGCGAGGGGAGGGAACGAGAAGTGTTGAGGGTACAGAGCAGGACCCGAGCTAGGGAGAGGAAGGCACAGGGGAGGACGGCAGCAATGTGCCATATGCTACCTCCTCTCCGACGTCAGCAGCCTTGGAGACTGAGGCCTCGTGATCTTGACGTGCTTCTTGGGGGTCGAGGAGGAGTCCCTTTGACTAGAAAGTGAGTAGAGAGGTCGAGATAGCGATGGGAGGCACCCGAAGAGCGCTTGTGGGATGATGCCGAGATGGTCGCGGGTGACGTCTGGTGGAGGAGTCAGGAAAGGGGAGAGAAGAGCTGGAGTCGTAGAGGATAAGAAGATACTGGAAGGATGGAGCTGGACCTCAGGAAGGGGGAGGACCGATGAGAACGAGGAGGGGAGTGACCCGGAAGAGCGGGAAGAGCAGGAGAATGGGAAAGGAAGACGATGGCAAAGATAGGAGCGGGTGCAGGACAGCACAGGAGGAGGAGGAGGAGGCGGAGGAGGAGGAAGCAGACTGCGTACCACGAGAGTCGGAGAGGATGCTGTCTTCGGTCGAACTATCCCTCCACTTCCAACCGCATGAGACTCCGGCACATCCCACCGCTCCCCTTACCCTCTCTCTTCCTTCCGCCTGCTCCGCGAGCAGCCGAGCAACGACGCCTTCCAAGCTGCAGGAAGCAACCATATGATTCAGGAGAGGAGAGGAATCGGAGGAGAAGCGAGGGAGAAGAGAGAGGAGAAAGAGCAAGGGAGCCTGAGGACGAGGACAAGAGCGTAGGGGAGGACAGGAATGAGGACTAGGGTAAGAGAAGGAGGATAATGACAAAGGGGAGGAGAAAATCACCGCAGACAGTCTTGCTTGAGTCTCTCGCGCTCCTCCTTCACCTTCGGGAGCAGGAGATGAGGAAACAAGTGCAGAAACTTCATCCGCTGACCTTGAGGAGATACTGGATCTTCTGCTTCGCGTTCCTGTGCCCGCACAGCTGCGCGTTGATCTCTGCCACCTTCCCGTGGGATCAGAGAGAGGTAGGAAACAGAAAAGATGATAGAGAAGTCAAGGTGAGATAGGCAAAGGGAGCAGGCAAGGGAGCAGGCAAGGAAGGAGGGAGGAGACAAGGGAGGGGAGAGCAACAATGAGGGAGGGGGAGAGAAGGGAAGAGGGAAGGAAGGAGACAACGGAGGAGGCAAGGGAGCGTTTAGGGGTATCAGATGCGAGCAGGGGAGAATGAAGCAGTTTGATACTTCATCTCGCGCTTTGTTGGCCTCCTCGACCTCTGCCCTCCTCTGCGCTTCAGATGCAGACAGCTGGAACGATCATCAGGACACCCTCAGCTCGTGTAGCTCGTGACCTTCTCCGCCAGCTCCCTTCCTCGCTCCTGAGCCAAGGAGGGTGAGGGAGGAGGAGAGAGAGTTTGATATCAGAAGCAAGTCACCTCGCTCTTTACAAGTGCCGCCTGAAGCTCTTCGTTCCTCGCCCTGCTCAGGGAAATCAGAGAGGAGGGAATCAGTCACCTCCCCTTCCCCCTCCCCCTCCCCCTTCCCCTCCCCCTCCCCCTTCACCTCCCCCTCCCCCTCCCCCTCTGTCAAAGTGCTTCTAGTGCCAAGCTTGTAAATGGAGCTAGCTGCACGCTGCGGGGGCGGGGGCGGGGCGGGCAGTAGGACAGAAGTCAGGGCAGGACCTCAAGGCTTCAACTTCAATCATCGACGTCCCAAGTGAAGACTCTGACGGTGAAGTTTCAGCGCTCAGCCACTTCGATTGGCTCCGACCTTTCTCCTTCACTATCGGGCGGAGTCTTACAAGCTCAGCAGTCGTCGTTTCCAACTGCCATGGACGGAGGTCATCTGACTTCGATGTTCGGCTACCTGGCTACGTTGGCGCGATGTTCCGCCAGCTGCCTCAAGCAATCTTCGTACTTGCCCTTCGCAACCGGTCAAGTCGATTCGAGAGGACTGCACCTGCCTTGACGGCCATACCTGCAGTTCGCTCAAGTTTTGAGATTTTCCATTGAGATTTTGCTCCAGCTGTGGAGAAGGTCAGCAATGAATGCTGTCGAGAGGTACTTCACGTCTGTGGGTCACCTCGTTCTTCAGCGAGATTTTCATGTCGCACTCCTCCTCCAACTTCAGCTGGAGACAAGAAACTTGTTGCTCCAGGTTCTGTTTCAAGTCTTACGACTTGTAGAAGCGGCAATATCCATCTCAAGACCTCAACTCGCTCGTTCAACACCTTGTTCTTGCCATTCTCAATCGTCCATGCCTTCTCCCACTTCACGCCAACATCAGCACTTCGCCATCGCACCTACACTCCACTTGTACCTGTCTGGCGACGTCCGACTCACGTTGCACACGATCGGCCTGAATTTCAACACATGAACGCGAAGAAGCGATGAAGGATGAGAACAAATCTTTAACAATCAACATTCATGTTGCAAGAAGCACCTTGATCATAAGGTCTTTCTTCAGGCTTTCCAGCTCACTTGTCAGTCTACCGTTCCTTCGCTCAACTCTTTCGGTGTCATCGTTACCATGACGTGACCTCCAACCACCATCGCAACACTCACTCGCACAACTTGTCTCGGAAGGACTTCTTGATCATCACGATCTGCTTTCAGTCACTGTTGAAGCACGTATCTTGACACCCCAACACCTCCTGCTGCAGGAGCTCCACGTTGCCCTTGTTTCCACACAACTCAGTCACGCCCCGAGCCTCAACCTCCTCCAACCTGTCTGTGCTTCGCCAGCATCTCTGCCTCCATTCGAAGGATCCTTGCCTGCGTCGTAGTGAACCATGCTCAAACAGCAACACATCCGTGGTTCACCTGCTCCAAAACCTCCTCTTGTTTGCCTGCTCCGCTTCCTCCTCCTCCTTTCACAAACTCTCGTTATCGCCTCACAATTTGACTCACGACTAGTCACCTGCTCCCTGGCCTACCGCGATCCCCTGAACCAGATCTGGAAGAAACAGTCACAGAGAATGGAGAAGTCGAGGCCTTACCCTTCTTACGCGGGTGGGATGCGGGGAGCCCGACATTTGGCGTGCATCTGAATGCAGGGACGACATGTCTACCTTCTGAAGAACACAAATGTTGACGGATGTTGTAATGGAAGTGCAAAAGCTCCCACTCATATCATCACCCTCCTCTCTCCTCCTGTCATTGCCTGCTATCTTCTTCTACCATATCGGCCATCTAGTTGCACTTGTCTATATGCACAAGTAGAATCTATCCTCATCAGTCTATCTTCATCAGTCTATCTGCATCAGTCTATCCTCATCAGTCTATCTTCATCAGTCTATCTGCATCAGTCTATCTTCATCAGTCTATCTTCATCAGTCTATCTGCATCAGTCTATCTTCATCAGTCTATCTGCATCAGTCTATCTGCATCAGTCTATCTTCATCAGTCTATCTTCATCAGTCTATCTTCATCAGTCTATCTGCATCAGTCTATCTGCATCAGTCTATCTTCATCAGTCTATCTTCATGAGTCTATCTGCATCAGTCTATCTTCATCAGTCTATCTGCATCAGTCTATCTGCATCAGTCTATCTTCATCAGTCTATCTTCATGAGTCTATTTGCATCAGTCTATCTGCATCAGTCTATCTTCATCAGTCTATCTGCATCAGTCTATCTTCATCAGTCTATCTTCATCAGTCTATCTGCATCAGTCTATCTGCATCAGTCTATCTTCATCAGTCTATCTTCATCAGTCTATCTTCATCAGTCTATCTTCATCAGTCTATTTTCGTGAGTCTGTCATGTTGTCTGCAAGGTGGTCATCGTCTCTGTCCGTTCTCGTCCTCTCGTCTCGCTTCTTCCTCCTACCATCACCATCGCTCTCCCACTCGCTTCTACCTCACACTCCCAGGTTCCCGCCATCTCGCTACTCCTCTTTCCGTTCTGATGCGGGCCTGCTTTTAGCCATTTCCGTTCCGAAGTCGACGGTCAAGTTCCGACTGAGTTCCGGCGGCCGCCCGGCCCCGGGCCCCCAGCGGGCCGGCGGGGCCGCCCCGCCCGGGGCCCGGCGGGAACTCAGTTAGTTGTCACAACAGTAGTGTCAGAGCAGACAGGCTGATCGTGCATCGTACCATAGTACGGTCGGCCCGTCGTTTTCGGGGTGACGCAGTTCGACGGCCCGGGCCGGGACGGCGCGGGCCTCGGCGCCAGTCACTGAGTGACTCAGGGCTCCGGGGCCCCACTGAGCCCGGCCCGGCCGACAACCCCGGGCCCGGCAGTCGGACTCCGGGCCGCCTCAGCAGCCGGAGAGATTGGAACTTGAAACTCGTCAGGCGTAGTCCAAGTAGAAATCCACCCCCTCAATCCATATCCCTTGAACGGGTCATCTTCCATTGTACCAGCTACCCCATAAATTGACTGCTATCGTACCGGTAGTGACCTCTACACCTTTCCCGGACCCCCTTCAACATACTCAATACCCATGTTTTCCAATGACCCCTACCCCCTGTAAAAATGATATACCCACCCACCATTCGGCCCCCAGTATCTTTCCTCCACCCTTCTTCAAAAAGTAAATCGGACCGCTTCAGTACCAACACCACTGAAGACCAGGGGTGGTCATTTACCTACCCCATTCCATCGTCCAATTTACGATGGCAGGGTGGGTACGTACCTTTTTTGAAGCTTCAACGGACCCCCACCCCTCTTCATAGTTCACTATTTCATTACCAGTCGACCACCCCTTCATTCACTCTCCACCCACCCATACCTTTACCAAGACTTCTCGCTCTTTGTACCCCCCTCATTCCTCTTCTTCAAGTACCCCTCACCCTACCCTCGGGGTCTGCAGTGAAGCGTAGAGGTCTAAGGGGACCCTATTGGTCATACCTAGGTCATAGAAATTTGCCTATTTCCTAGAACCTTCTATGCTATGTTGAAGGGGGGTGCTACCAAGTACCCCATATTTTAGGAAGATAATCAAGGTGTTTCTAGGGGTAGGGGTGTTAACCCCTTACCCCCATTTTCCGATCTGTTGCAAAGGGTAGAGGGATGCAGGGTGGAGTCTAAGCGGTGGGTACTTTGGCGGGGAAAAAATGGGGTGGAAAGGAAGTCTTGGGAGGGGGTAGTGTCCCTTATACCCTGTCAGAAGCGCGGTTATGGCAGGGAATGGGAGCGAAGGGGGAGAGATCAGGAAAGAGAAGAGTAGAGCAGGAGAAGAAACTTGTCAGAACGAACCTGAGATCAGTGATAGAGGAGGTGAGCAGTTAGAGGTGGGGTTGAAGCATGCAGGAGAGAAGAGGTGAGGTGATCCAGAGCCTTTGTGGCGAGGAAGAATGAACGATGCTGCTGCGGTCAAGGGAGGAGAGGACGTGAGGGAGCAAAATATTACCATCGGAATGATATTGCAACCATCTTTACAAAGAGGAGAACCGTCTGTCAATCGTGTGCATTGCAGGAGAGAAGCCCAGGTGACACAGGTTTCGTAAACATTCGTAACGTGCAAGGGTGTTGCCTGAATCACCTAGGGATCCTAAGGCCTTGTATTATAATGCGACATCTGAGGATGCAAACAGCAGGATGAAGTGTTTTCTGTTTCATTGTCAGCCAGATGAAGTCAGCGAGTGGTTAACTTGTGCTCTGTTGCAAGGAGGCAAAGTGGGTCCAAGCACATCAGTGGGTGCCTCGACGAGAGCAGGGGCAGGGGCAGGGGCAGGGGCAGGGGCAGGGGCAGGGGGAGGCATTTCAGTCTTGCCTGTCTTTTCCTCTTCATCTGGATTGGTTGTCTGACATGAGGATTTCAGTATCTCTCGACCAGTATGAGCTGTAGGATTCTTTGCGGAATCTACCTCAGGTTTCCTCCTCCTCCTCCTCCTTTTCCCTCCTCCTCCTTTTACCTCCTCCTCCTTTTACCTCCTCCTCCCTCCTCCTCCTCCTCCCTCCTCCTGCCCTACTTCTCCTCCTCCCTCCCCCCCCCTCCCCCTCCTCCTGCTTTCTTTGTCTCTCATCCTCTGATCGACTATCCAGCTCTGTGCTGTTCTCCGCCGGCTACGCAGCTCACATCGGACCACTCGGACGGATGGCAGCTGCTCCTCGTCACAACGTAATTCTCCCGCCATCATCAACTCCTCCTCTTCCTCTTCTCCTTCCCGTCTCCTCTTGCTCTTCCTCTTCCTCTTCCTCTTCCTCTTGCTCTTCCTCCTGCTCTTCTCCTTCCCGTCTCCTCTTGCTCTTCCTCCTGCTCTTCCTCTTACTCTCCTCCTTCCCGTCTCCTCTTGCTCTTCCTCTTGCTCTTCTCCTTCCCTTTTCCTATCCCTTCCCCTCGCGCCGTCATCCCTATTCCGACATGTCTTCATCCTTGTGCCATCCTCTCCCTCCACGTCCTCACGTCAGCTGCGCCAGCCCCTCTCATCCGTCCTCCAGGCCAACGGTGGCGACCTGTCGCTCCGGCTTCGAGGAGGAGAAGCTGCATCCTCTGCAGGCAACCATCTCCTCCTGCTTTCTCCTCTCCTTCTCTTGCACTCCTCCTCCTCCTCATCCTCCTCCTCCTCCTCCTCCTTTCCTGCTCGCCTTCTCCTGACTAGCTAGCAGAAGGATCCTTGGCAGCGCAAAGCCAGACTGCTGGTCCGCTGTCCTCTGACGAAGCGTCCATTTCTTGACATGGATGCAGGCAAGGGCAGCAAGGTCTTGAAGAAGCCGGAGTACATGCCATGGCACCAGGTCGTGCCCTGTCCTCTCCCCTCCCTTTGCTCGCCCTCCCCTTTCTCTTGTCTTAGTTCATGGTCCTTTCCTTGTGTTTCCTACTGCTACTTCTCTCGCCTCTCCTTTTCTCTTCTCCCCTCTCCTCCGCTCCCCTCTCTTCTTCTCTCCTTTCCTCTCCTCATCGTGCTGCCCCTGCTCTCCTCTCTCTTTCCCTCTTCTCATTGCGAATGTTCAGATCCCCGACAACAACTGGAAGACGAAGGATGGTCATTCCCGCCTTCTGCTGCGTTTCCCAGCTCATGTCCGGCAGGCTGCGAGGTTATCAAGTGGGACCCCTACCTTGAGGGCTGCAAGGGCTCCTTGCAGTACAGGTGCGAGGAGGAGCAGGAGCAGGAGCAGGAACAGGAGGAGGAGGAGGAGGAGGAGGAGATAGATTTTGAAGGAGGGGACTGAGGAACAGGAGGAGGAGGAGGTTGATGTGAGGAGATTGGTGCGGGACTGAGGCGGAGGAGGAGGAGGACCTGGATGTTTAACGCTGCCCAGGTACGGGAGGTACAAGCAGAGGAAGGAGCATATCATCAACACTTTCGGTTCTCTGGAGAAATTCTCTGAAGGGTGAGGGACTGACGGCAGTACGATGATGGTGTTGGTGATGGCGTTGTTGATTTGATGTTTTTGATCATGATGATGATGATGGATATTTTGTCTCTGTTGTTGATGTATGTCACAGTTCATGATGGATATGGAGATGGTAGAGAAAATGATGATTGTGATGATGATGATGATGATGTCGTTTGTTTTCTTCGTATTGCTTCTTCAAAGTGGATTATATTGGGTTTTTCACTCTGCCTCTTAGTTTTCATACGTATGGCGTTCATCGCAGCAAAGACCCGAACCGCCCAGGTGAACACCACCACCACTACAACGACAACAAGAACAACAACAACAACAACAACAACAACAACACTATCATCATTGTTACTGTTCTCCTCCTTCATCTTCTCCACCTTCTCATTCGCTGACTTTGCTGCCCTGATTGCACTTGATGTTCTTTCTGATATCGTCTCACACATCTTGTTTGAAACTCTTCATCTTTCGCTCATGCTCACTTTACTTCTCTTTCCCACAGGCATCATCGCTACTGAATGGGCACCTGGCGCCAAGTACTTGGTGTGCCACATGCAGTGCGAGTGATGGGAAGCAGGAAGGAAATGCAGAGGGACGGAAGTGGAAGTGAAAGGACGTGGAGGAAGAGAGGGAGGAAGAGGAGACGGGAGGAGGACGAGGAGGAGGAGGAGGAGGGAGCAGCAGCAGCAGGACGAGATGAAGACATTGACGGTAATTTTCAGGCACTGATGGGAGATT